GATAAAGGATAAGCATTTGCCGTTGATCAATCCCTTTTTGGGATGCGGCACGCATTCTACTTCCATTTGTACATTCGTAGTGGCGTTTGAATGCGATGTGGCCTACACAATGACGGAAGCCACCCTTCCATACCTCCGGGGTCAGTTTATTGGTACCATACTTGTTTGGGAGGAAAAAGCCCTGACTTGTACATCGGCAAGGGTATTTAGCTCATCACAAATGGCCGGACCGGCCTAATGACGTTCCCTAGTAAGCGGCTGCAGGAAATCGAAGCCTTGTTGATTTCAAATATACCTCACCTTTCCGGAATACCTGGATTTTCACAAAGAATTAGTCGTTTGAATTTCGGTCGGTCCACGTTCACAGCTCCTTGCGTGTTCCAGGTCAGCAAGCGCAGTCCATTGACGCGCGGATTTCAAGGCATTCAAAAAACGATATAGTAATGTTAATGCTTTTATACAACTACGTTCATAGAGGGGATAGCAAGATACTCGAAAAGGGGGTTATGAAATTCCCCAAAAGGTACCGACGGCAGGAGTGATCTTCTCTACCAACCAGTGTTCTTGTGTTCCTAGAACATCAACGTCAATGTAATGGAGACTAGGCTTAGACTAGAACTTCATTCAAAGATCATGAACATTCAGGCAAATTCTCACTCTCTCCACCATTGCGCCTTAATTTAGCTTGGCAACAACAGAAAATGATGTTCGAGAAATCTGAAAATATATATTATTGGTATTATCAGGCTTGGTGAAAACTACGGGGCCATTCATCTACAAAAGCTACCCAAGAGGAAATTGACCTAGAGAAATTGCGAATGGATTATGAGTGGAAGGGTACAGTCGGTAAGAACAGATGTAAAAAATGTCGAGAATGTTGAGCAGTTCAGCAAGAAAGTTCGATTCTCGTCCTGAGATGACTGTAGAAATTACTCGAGAGTATCAATAAGAAGAGGCAACGAAATGATAAGAATGGGCGAAAAAATGAAAAGGAGGAATCTGTTTGGCGACGAGTTGAGGAAAACATTCGGACAAAGAAAGCAGCAAAGCAAACCTATGCTGTCCGGCCTTTCAAGACTATTACAGTTATCGTAGAACTTGCACTTTATTTTTCATTTACCTGAATATTATTTATTTTCTGACATGTTCTTTTATTTATTACCGTAATTATATTTTGGTTATGTGTGATACTGTATTTTCTTCTTGTATTTCTGCCTAATAGGGCGTTTGTATGGCTCTCCCTGTAAAGCAAATGTATGTTGTTTTTCATCCCGAAAAATTTATTTTAATTAGCATAAATAAACAGAAGAGATACAGGACGAACATATGTATATAGATGAAAGATTTATAAGTATATGTTCGAGAGGTTGCTCGTGATGAGAAGTTCACCGAGATGGCTTTGGAATGAGTTGGTTGATTGCGCTCAGCAGTTCCGCAAGAAAGTTCGATTCTCGTCCGGGACCACCCTGAATATTGAATATGTAAATAACTCCAGTAAAAAGATAAAGTATAAGGTTTTGCCGTTGATCAATACGTTGTTGAGCTGCGGCACGCATCCTACTTCCATTTAAAATCACGATGAAAAAGCAACCCATTTCAAATTAACCTAGGGATGGTGAGTGGTACACGAAAGAAGGAAAACCATGAGAAACGGCCCAGAACCCGAGAAATGGGACCCCTTCCTTGCCCGTTGATTCGAGCATTGATGCGACTCTCATCGCTGTGCCCTCTTCAACACTACGCTCTCTCAGCTATCTAATCACTCGCCACGTATTGAACTACGGCGAGTGATCAGATGATCGGTGGGCGGAGATCGCCGGACCCGCCAGCTTTGAGGCATGATAGGTCGCCGAGGTCAAATTTTTCCATGCGAATTGCGCGTCAGTTCGCACCCTCAGGAGGTCCGTGGGTCCCTCAACTAGGTCAGTTTCCCTTTCTTCGACCTTCATTCTAATCGTGAATTCCTCCTTTAAGCTGATTATAGAAAGAAATACCATGGGGTCATGGAGGTGCAGATACCACGATTGCCACATTGATCCTCTGGAGGTCAATGTGGCATCTGCGTCTCCTAAATCCCGTAGTCTTTTTTTGCTCAATTACGAGTTAGCTATAAAATTTACCTCTTAATGTTCCACATAAAATGTGGGGTTTATATATAGTATTATATAGATCATATATATATATATATATATATTTATATATATATATTAACGTAGCTATGGGCTGACACATGGGTTGATTCGTTTGGAAGCGCTATGGACCTGTTAGCAAACCTTGAATTTTATCAGAGCTAATCACTCTGAATTAAGGGAGGACTACTATCGTCCCTGCTGCACGTATCGCTGATTTATGTGCTCCCTAGACTCATACAAACCACTACTTCCTCTGTCCCCGTTGTCTCTCATCTCACTATCTGCTGCTTATTCCTGCATCATCGCAGAACAAAGATCTCCGTATTTTCTGTTCTCGATGGTTTCTCTCCCACCTTTTCTCAACTGAATGTCCAATTGTCACTAGTTCTTTCACCATCTAGCCTCCTTTTTCCTCATCAACTTGATCCTGGGCACCTAAAAGGCAGCAATCCCAATAAAATGGGTGTTCGTAGAAAGATATGTGGCAGAAAAAGGCCAAGTTTGTAAAAAGACTATAGCAAGTGCTTCCGCTGCAGGCCTTATCAAAGACGTGATAAGGTGAAGTATTCTAAACCTTATCATGTATCCTATTCCTCACCCCTTCCCCTCTTCCTGGAGATAGGGAAGAAATTAAAATGGCAGCGTCCTAAATATTCTATCGTTTTCCTTCGATTTTCATCGCGACCAGGATTTCGTATTGAGCGCCCATGTCAACTACCGGCACGCTTCACTAGTCTGGGTAAACTCTATCTCATGCTTATTTGTTGGCCGTCAAATTTGACATCAAACAGTGCAAAAAGAATAATATATACGATTCTTTCACGTCCGTATGCATTTGATGTGTTTCTGTTAAAGCAACAGTCCCAGCAGGGTGGGCGTGGTCGGAAACGACTGCAATCCCCTCGGCCGATTCCGACCACGCCCACTTCAGCTCCCTCCCTAGCGGCTTTCCAAGGTGAGTTTTTGTTCAGTCACACTTCTTACGTTCTTGACTAGGGGCTGAACAGCTCCGAAGTGGGAATCGGCCGAGGGGATTGCAGCCGTTTCCGACCACGCCCACCCTGCTGGGACTGTTGCTTTAAGAAATGGCGTTTCGAGTTTAAATCGAATTAGTTCGACTTTTTTTGGGTGCACATTTGGGGCTGGAAACGTGATTTACACGTGGGCCCTTTCCGAAAATAATTTCAAATTTCTGTGGCACATATATGCATCATTAGGAATCTAATCATACAGTGTGGTACTTGTGAAACCTAGGAACTCACCACAGCTGTTTGATTACCGAGTGTGACGTTTTGTCCAATATCGATACCCTTATCCTTGTCAAAGCTCAAGGCACCAGAACCCCCGAAAGGTGAACCATTCACTAATGCCGCGTCCTCCTCTGGAAGTTACTGGTGAGTCCAAAACCGAAGGAAAAAATATTATTAGAAAAGAAATACCATTATTTTTGACTACATGTTTGCCTATCATTTCAAGTAACGAGTAAGAGTAACGTTTCCTCACTTTCAATGTGGAATGTTCCATTTCCAGTAACCAACTTCATTTTTCTTTTACCACCATAGCCAAACAGATTGAAGCCTTCATTGGAAATAATTTCCAGCTGAAAGAAGGAGATTACACTAGAGGAATCATGCAAATGCAGCTCATTCAGTTCTTCTGCAATGTTTGCATAGGTGTGTGCTATAAGTAAGCCACGCACGCGCGAACTGAAAGTCGAGACAGTTAGCTCGAGTCCTGGACAGAAGTGAAATGCCAAC